TATCATTGGTTATAGATTAATTTAAAATCGCTTTATTTTATATTCTACAGTATATACAGTATTATACAGTAGATTTACAGTATATACAGTATAATACAGTAAAATAAAATACTGTAAATGTACTATAGTTTAATAATATAGAGTGAATAAATAGGAATATATAATATTATGTATAGTATAAAATCACAAATATGTATAGTATAGTCAATAAATTAAAATATACAAAATGTATATTTTAATTTTTATACATTATACATGTATATAATAAAATTATTAAAATAATTATACATTTTGTAAAATTGTATGTATAATAAAAAATTATTTGGTATATAATGCATAATTAAGACTATACGTATAAGCACAATATAATTTATTTAAGCATATTACTAATTTTATATATGAATACATATGTATATTATTTATTTAAGCATTTTGCAAATTCTATATAGCATATATATGTGAATAATATTAATCTTCATATCCTAATTCTTTCTCAATACCTAGTTCACGTGCTTTTTCATAATTTTGAAGCTTTTTTTCTCTAAGCTTCTCCTTTCTCTCTTCGATTTCTAATTGCCGTTCTTCAAGTAAAATTTGTTGTTCTAATTGACTTAGTGAGTTATCTTTGGTAGAGTTACCTTTGGTAGAATTAGATTTGATTCGTTTGTTCTTATTTGTTGATGATTGTTGATTGCGTTTTTTATCTTTAAATTTAATTAATTATTGTTAATTTTAGTTTATTTATAAATAATTTAAAATTTTATCATTTATTTACCATAATGCTTTATTGATTGTAATGCATGAGATATTGGCCCATTATTTCTTCCAGTTTTTGCTATTCCATATTTATCTTGAATTTTACAGGTAGTAAATTTTCGAATATCAAGTCTTCGTGCTCTAAAATTAAAGTTATATTAAAAATTAAATTTTTTATAATATAGTATATAATAATTTTTTTAACAAATTACTTTTCAATTGCATTCATCAAACTTAATTCTTTTCCATCACGATTAATGTCAGCGTGTGCTGATTCAGCTATATTAGTTGTTTCACCAACTATACACCAAATTTCAGTATCGATTTTGGAACAATGTTGGTTTAAACTTGCAAGAACCCATGGTTGATTATAAAATTGTATCCAATCTATATTAATATTAAATATATAAATAATTAATTTTTATATTAAATATTGTAATATTATAATATTTATAAAGGTTTGATTTTAAATAATAATTAAAAATATTTTTACCATTAATTTCCTTTTCATTAAATAATGTTATCTCATTTATAATTAGTTGAACTTCCTCATAACTTTCAGCGGTTAAGATATTTTGCATTAATTTTGTAACTTGGTTTGAAAATTTACGATTTAAAAGATTTCTAAAATAAAGTATTAATTATTAAATTAAAAATTAGTTAAATTATTTACAAATAAATTATATTTACCTTTGATAATGTAAGCGACAAGTTTTAAAAATATGAACAAGATGTTCAGTCCAACTTAAACTAGGATCAATATTTGATAAAGCTAACCCAAGCCC